GATTTGTTGCTTAAATAAATATACAATTTTAACAATTTTTTGGTAAGTATAATAAAGTGGATGCAAAAAAACATAATTCCACAATTCTAAAGGTCTTTCAGAGTGTCAGTCATGATATGAAAAAGCATTTTATAAATGCAATAGCACTTGAACATGTTTGCACTGCATGTCTAGGGCAACATTTGGATAGAAATTCAAGAAGCTTTTGGTTAGAGTTTCATTGCCTCCAAAATTCATTATGGAACTGGATGTTAGAACAGGTACTGGTGGAAAGTGTATGCTTTGGTCTGCTGTGTTGTCACGAAAAGTAGGAGGGGGGAGTGGGTAGGGCCAGCTTAGTTTCACTCAAAGCCTATTGTCTCTTTCATTCCTGAAAAAGTGAAGAACAAAGTAATGGAAGTTTTAAAGAGGGCTTGTAAAGATGTCCAGAAATTGCCTTCTTAATAAGATTACTCTCAGAAAGTCCTCAACTGCCAATAGCAAAAGCATCATACAAGCCCAAGAGAAAGACACAGCTTCTATTCTTTTGGTTCAGAGAGGCAAATTGAAGACAACCTGGGGTACCTCTGCAAGCGATTAGACAGGTAGAGTTTGGGAACTGTACTCTAGATAGTGGGGCTCAACCTGTGACCATGAGAGCATAGAGGGCTCTGGCGTTGTGCCCACATAGGACTGAAGAGATGGGTATTGGGATGGCAGTTGGAGTTTTGATGTGGTAGCATAAATTGCATCAGGTTTATTTCTGATATTGTAACAGTGTGATTTCTTTTATTCAAATCTATATGGATCATCTAATACAGCAGTAATTATTTCTGACTGCCTTACTGTAAGTAAGACAATTCCCATTTGAACTGCTTTCCTTTGCAGTCCTGCTTCGCTGCGTGTATGAATCATTTGTTTTACAGCCATGGCTGTTTCCTGTAGATACCCAGGGTATTCAGGGCCAAACCCCTACCTTATGAAGACAGATCATGGCATGCCCTTTCTGTCTCTTTTTTTTTTTTTTTAATTCCCTTTTTCTCTGAGAAATCCAACCCAAACTGGATTTGACCGGAATAACTGAATAGCTGGATCATTTTACTTTCCCTTTGTCTGCTCATGATACTCTTTAGCCAAGAATAGCTAACATTCACAAGCTCTTGAGGATACTTTTATCCTGGCCATGTGTTTGGGAACTAGACAATACAGCCATGTCTGCATGCCATGTCTGCCTCACATAATAAACTCTGCCAGTTTCAGCTTGGGTCTCCACATCACACTGCCAGTCTTCCTCTAACAATGTGGGAACAGGAGCAGTTTATTTGACCCGATAACTAGTTAACATTGTCAGAACTACGTGATCAGAGTGAAATTGGCAGGACAATACTTTGGCACCATCTTTAAAATTTGTCAGCATCATTTCACTGAAAGATTAAAGAGATTATCGCCTGACACCTCTCACTTCAGCATTTACCAGCAACAAATATCTGAACTAGGACTGCCTATGTAAATACAGCAACAGTTCTGTAGAACAATAGAATTATCAAAATATACTGTTAAGAATACAAAACACATATTGGGATTTTCGTTTCATTCTATAGAGTTTGTTTTTTTCTGTAATAAACCTAAACAGAATTGGTAGGTTACCTTGTCTTTGATTCCTCTTACCTGGACTGCAAAACATAAACCAATCGTTTTTAAGAAGGAGCTAATTCCTTTTACAGAACTGTGCCTTTCCCATGTGGTAACAAAACCTTGGAAAGTAAAAAAAAAAGCAACAACCAAACCACCCAGATAAACAGAAACTATTGCAGTGCCAGTACCAACAACATAGCTATTCGTCTACCGAGTGTGAACTTGTGTGCTATGTATTATTCTGCTCAGAAATTACTTGTGTGAGAAAACAGAATCTAGTCATCGTTGAGGAAGGCTCTCATCTCACTATTGGACTTTTTCACTTGCATGTGCTTCCAGAGTGCCTCCAGGGACCTGTACATTCGAGTTTCTAATTCTTCCATATGGATTAAACATCCTGGCCAGACTAGTGATGTCTCATGGTCATGTCTCTTAATGAAACACCGTAAATGCCTATTGGAAATCTAAGTGACAGTGAACTGGAAAAGATATCATCCATCTGTAGAATCAAAATATATCGGAAAACAATGGTATGACACATTCAAACTACAGCTCCCAAGAAAACCAATGGCTAAATTTACAAAAAGAAAAATTTAATTATATTTTAAATGTCTTTTTCTCAAGAAGTAAGAAAAGACCTGTCAAAGGACACTTTATTAAAAAAAAAGGAAGAAAGAAAAAAAAAAAGAAAAGAGTTATCAAAATGAATTTTCCATCATTTGAAAATGAATTTAGACAGAAAATTGTGGACTAGAACCAAACTCCCCACTGAGTGTGTTTGTCAGGGGCCAGTGCTGCCTAAGGGGCAGGCAGGGCAGGCCATGCAGGATAATGACTTATAATGACTTAAAAGTGAAAAATGCAGCCCAATACACTTTGCAAGGAAAAAAAGCAGGAATATCTGTGTTCAAACACCTCCTGATGGAATGAAACTAAAATTGTCCATAGCCTGTAGTTTGGCACTGTGGTAGAGTAACCTTTATTTTTCTTCTTAACAGCAGGCCAGATCTCAGGGGAAAGAATATTAGAAAGAAAGCACTTGAGAAACAAAAATATCATTGTTTTCAACATTACAGACAGTGAGCATTCATTATGGAACTTCAGAAGTTCTGGCATTTAATTCATTACATGATCAAAATATCTGAAACATGGACAGTTAATATTGATCTCAGGCTTTTATAGAACACATCGAGCTACTGTTATTTGAGAAATTAAGCTCTACCAAATTATTTATAGACCCAGTAACAAATATATGAGCAATGCTGAAATCTAAGTAGTAGAAGTTATACATTTTAAATATCAGAGTCCAGATCAGGGGTGTAAAATGGCACAGTTCCACTGCAGTCTCTGAGCAGTACTCTGACTTCCATCGGTTCTGGATCTGGATGACTATTTACACACAATTTAAATGCTTGTTTTCCTTCCAAATGTATAGCTTTTGAGGCTTTCAATGTGTTTTGCTGCAAATCCAGTAGTACAATGACACAGGTAATTCCTTGAAGCATTTCTATTTACAGTTCTTTTCCACACTACACATTTTACTATGTAACTAACTGCAATCAAAGAAAGCAGAAAAATAAAATGCCACCATTAATCATTGAATTAAGTCATAAGAGAGAACCTGAGTGCTAATTTGACTGAAAGTCTTAGAAAGTTGTGGCTGAACATAGTAAATGGCCTATCATTAGTATGGATTGTATCTTGGATGTTCATATCCCAGATGAGGACACTGTCATTTGAATTACAGAATTACTCTAACAGGGCACATGTGGGGTAGAAATAACAACTATCAATTAAATACAGGGGAAAAAATCAAACAAAACAAACAAACAAAAAAAAAGGTAAGAAAGAAGTATCAATTACAATTATAATAAGAGACTTCATACAGACTCTTCCCATTCCTGTCATGCTCTGGTACCATCTTCATCCACCTTCTTCCTCTTCCTAATTTTCAGAGACCTGTTCTTCTTGCCAGTCAGACTGGGACACTAGCTTTACCCATGATAAAGAATAGCAATATTTGGTTTGTACCTTTTTCTGGTCTAATTATGCAGGGAATAGAAGTGATAGCATATTCAGCACACATTAACCTGAAATGTAAATATTCATTGTACAGCAGCACTTCTCACAATCCAATCAGTATTTAGCTTAAATCATTATTTCTTTGAGTATAATTTAAAGACTATAAACACCCCTCCCACACACTGTTGTAGCTTTTCCATTGAAATTTGAGATTGCTGGCATTCACAAAAATGAAATGTGAATAGCACTGATGAAACATAGTATAAGGTAGGCAGATGATATGCAAGTATCAACAAGAATCTCTGTGAATGCAGCTCTATCTCACCTGAAAGAGCCTTCCTGATACTCCTTCCATACTCCTCTGATTAGATTGAAAGCACTGAAAGGGGAATAAATAGCTACCTCCATAAAACACCCACAAACTAGCAGGCGAACGGCATTCTGAGAGAAAAATATGCAGATTTAATTTTATCATGAAGGGGAAGTAATTTGAGTCTGAAGGGGTTCTAAGCACACTCTGTCAATAAATTGCATGCTAGGACAAATAGGTCTGAATACCAATGAAAGTGTACATTCCTGAAGCCTGTTTTTATTTAAAGTATATATACATGTGTGTATTGAGAGAAGTGGGATTCAGTTAGCTGCTTGCACATCAGGAAATACATGGAAGATCAAATGCCATAGTGTGAAGCCACAAACCTGGACTGCTACTCTGCTGATGATACCTGTGATCCACAATGGCATTTGAAACTGAAGTAGGTATTCATTGTCACAAAAACATCAAATTCCTTTTTTTTTTAAATTATATTATGCTGCTTGGCATTTTATAAATGTACATAAGGAGTTAATTTAAAGCAGGTATTGATAATAGCTGGTAAAGGATTTTCCTGACCTTCTGCTGCCTTCTCAAGATTTGCCAGACTGTTTCCCAGTCACACGAGAATGATGAACAATTCATGGTTCAATTGGAAAACATATTCAAGTCTGAATACGTCAGATTCTTTTCCAATTATGTTTTAATTTGTTGGACCAGTTAGTTGTAAAATTTTACTACTTAGAAACCCAGAATCAGAGAAGGGAAAGTACTTCAGGACAAAAAATATCTGAGATACTTTTACATATCTCTATCAGTCTTTACGAGAATTCACTCTGATAACATAGTAGTGATAGAAGTACTGAGTCAGGCTTGAACACCACAGAAACTTCCTGCATATGCTACAGAACTTCAGAGAAACATATTTATACAACAAAAGACAATTTCCCAATTTCCCTATCCACAAAACATGGGATGGTGGTAAAACACTGATACGTCTTGCGAATATAGCAAATGTAATGTAAACAGATACACAAAAAGCACTCAACATTTATGCAGCAGTACTGTTTTCCCCAGGGTCTCTGTCTACGAGATGAATGCTCCCCGTGATCACCGATTCCTCTTTAGCCGAGGTGTTCTCCAGCTGCTTATTTGTGCAATATGGAATGTGGCCACAAAAATACATGTAAATCCAGGGATTGGTACAGCTATTTAAATTGCCAAGGAGCATGATAATGGTGAATGCCGAACCTAGAATGAAACAGTTAAAGGAATAACACAGTTAATAAATAAGTACAGTTACAAATAAGTAACATTTTCATAGTCTGCTGCTTTCCGGTGTACCTGTTCATATAGTAATTAATAGGAGGAAATTCCTATTTATTCCATGAAATTTTTAACTGTTGAAGGTATGAAGCACACCTTATTCTATGCATTTCAGAGTTAAATTATTCCAAATCGCTCTCTTTTGATGTAGCTGCATTAGATTTAAAAGCAGTTACTAACCTGCTATACAGATAAATACATATATTGATATAAATATATGTAGAGTAAGACTCAAATTCACACTGACAGGAAGAATTCTTAAGGCAAAGCTCAGAAGATGGGTTTTTTTCATCAAGCAAAGCTGTTATCCTTTTTTTTTTTTTCCTTTGGTTTGTATCTTTGAGTTTAGAATAGGTGAGCTTAAGCAGTCACATACAGAGTCTGCCTTCACGAAGAGGCAACGGTATAGTTTGACAAGATTAATGTTGTTTACAACATGGTATTCTTCGATACCCCTCTCAGGCTTGCTTTTTTGCTTTATAAACAGCTGTTTTACAACTTTTAATTGTTTCACAGTGTACTACAGAGATCTCATCAATATGATTTCAATATTCAAAAAAACCCAGATGTCTTATAGCATTACTGGTCTATCCAGTAAATAAGAAATATTTATTTTATTACTTGGAATAGTTCATCTTTTTCACCTCAAGAGCCAAAACAACCTGCAGCTATGATACCTAAACCCTCTCAAAGTCTGAACCCTTGCTAGAGCAGATGATACTTTTCACTGTGCTGTTCATTAATCTTTGAATCATTAATCACTCAAAACACACGAAATACTTACATGTTTTGATCACATAACATTAAGTTCTCCGAAACTAATTAAATACAGTAGAAGATAATCAATGTAGAAATTTATTTTAGTCATACTCAAATGATCACATGTAACTTTTACACAAAAGCAAAGTGCAAATTTAAAGCAACATAGCAATTTGCTAGCTTGCTATGAAGTTATGAATGAGGATGGAGAGTATCTTACCTTCTGTCACAACACTGGGGAACCACACAGACCACAGCTGTGCAATGAAGAAAGGTGACCAACAGAGAACATATGCAACAACTGTCACCACTGTCATTTTTACAGTCTTGATCATAGCCTTTGAAATACAGTTCACATTGCTTGCTCGGGATGGCAGGACTTGCTTCTGATTTGTTACTTCATATTCATTCTGGTTTTTGACATACATATTTCTTTTGATTTTTCTGCAAATGTTAACCTGGCACGTGATGAGGATGGCTGAGGGAATGAAGAATATAACTACAAAAATCCAAGTCACATATGCCCTTGGGCCCCATGGCTGAATAAATTCACCCCAACATTCAAAGACACCTGGAGATATTTCAGTCTTAGAAAAGATAAATACCTGTGGTAGGCTAAGAATCAGTGATATAGACCAGCTGGTGCAAATGGGGATGTTCCAGAGAGCTCTCTTCTTTTGGAAAGTGACCATAGGGTAGCAAACTGCTTGATATCTGTCCACCGTCATGACCACTATCATATAAGTAGAGGCAAACATGCCCAGCAATTGTAGATACTTGATACTTCTGCACAAGAAATCTGGCCCTATGAAAACATCTGTAATATCCCATATGAGTTGAGGCAGCACTTGGAAAAAAGCTACCACTAAGTCAGCGATGCTGAGGTGAAGCATGAACACGTACATCCTAGAGAGCTTCCTTCTTCTTCGCCACAGCACCAGTATGAGAATAAAATTGCCCATAGATGCTGTCAAAAATATGACCCCCAGTACAGCAATCTCTACTTGAGCTAATTGCTCATCTCTTTCTGGTCTTCCAACAGGATCTGACTGATTTGTCAAACTCAGGAATCTGTGAGGAGAAGGACTCTCGGTCTGATGTGTGTTATCCTGCATAGGAAATGAAAAATTCTTCATAGTGCACAGCAGCCACTTACAGTAGCTGCTACTTGCAACTCAGGTTGACAGCTGTGAAGCACTGGCTAGCAAAGAGACCAGCCTGGGTTCAGGTTTCAGTATATCTTCAAGCAAATCTCCTCCTGCTTGTGTGAACTACAGCAGTGGGACCTGGATCTTGATAAAATTCTGCCTCTTGCTGGCATGCAAAAAGGCTTTATATAGGCTCCCAGCAGACAGAGCCTTATGTAACTGCAGAGCCCTCGGGTAGGCTGCAGGGAACGCAGCCAAAGGCAGACTGAGCCACACAATTGGGGGAAATATATAAATAAAAGGCAAACTTCAGACGCTCAACGTAATTCAATTACTCACTTCAGTCGAAGCCTGAACTTGTAAATAGCTGTGGCCAAAATTGCACTTAAATGATCCTACTCAGGAGAGTTCTTGCAAATATTTTTTACGCAAACCAGAAGTGCACGCTTTGGACGAAGCGAGAGGAATGTTTATACGTAGATGGAAAGTTGGGCCCTGAGCTCAGGCACATCATAACTGCAATTCTTTAGGCTCCTGGGGCAAGACCACATCCTAAATGCAGCAGGGACAAAGAAATGCAATTTTCCATCACTGCCACCTTTTTTTTTTTTTTCTCCCCTTCTCTTTTCTGGAGTCACCTGATATTAAAAAAAATAAAATAAAAAAAGAAAAAAATTTGACCTGCCCTAAAAATAATGTTTTTATTTCAAGACAGGGTCAAGGCTTAGAGGCTTTTTCTCAGCAAAATGAAAAATAACACATGTGAAATAAATTACTTTTAATGGGATTGTGAGTCTACTGAGGATTTAATAGAAAAATAACTGAAAATTCAGTGGGAAATCCAATTGAAGAAAAGGTCTCTACGACAAAACAATTTTCAAGTGTCTCTATTCTACTCTAGTGCTAAAGGCTGGGAGGTCATTTTTCAGTATCTAATAATTTTTATTTTTGTGAAGTAAGTTGTATCATGACCACAAGAATTTCACTGGGTTTTGACCTTCTGTATGACTTTTGCATATTCTTAGTGGCAGATAAAAATAGCAATTTTGATTTAACTTCATTTCTTCTCCCTCAGTCTGCCCCTTTAATCACGAAAGAGAGATTTAATAAAATGAATTAATCTAATATGAAAGATAACACATATTTGTACGCAATCTTTTTTGAAGCTAGAGCACTCGTATCCTTTTGGCAATTTGAAGTCTTCGTGAAGAGGAAACTGGTAAGGTTAAAAGTATGTCCATGCTGCATGTACACGTATAGTACATAATACTGCACCTACACTGATTAATCACTGTGATCATGACTATGTTATAAAACCAGCTCAGGAATCTTACAAACAGACTACCATCTCTTTGGCACTAAATGTATCAACAGACAGGAGAAAGGAAAACTCATAAACAGGACACTGAAGCAGACTACAGAGGTTTATAAAATCAGCATGATCTCTTTTTTCTCCTTCTTTCCCCTTCAGTCCCATTTTGGGACTGATATTAATACCTCGTCCCGGTTTCAGCTGGGATAGAGTTAATTTTTTTCTACTTAGTAGCTAGTGCAGTGCTGTGTTTTGGCTTTTGTCTGGGAATAATGCTGATAACACACCAATGTTCTAGTTGCTTCGCAGTAGCACCTACCCCAATCATGCTCTGCCAGTGAGGAGGGGCACAAGAAGCTGGGAAGAAGCAGAGACAGGACACCTGACCCGAACAGGCATTCCACACCATTTCCATACCCAAAAGGGTATTCCACAGCACGTCATGGCCAGTATATAAACTGGGAGAAGTTGGCTGGGAGTTACCAATCGCTGCTCAGGAATGTGATGGGTATCAGTCAGTGGGTGGTGAGCAATTGTATTGTGCATCACTTGTTGGGGTCTTTTTCAGGGGGTAGTTATTCTTCTCTCTCTCCCTCCCCCTCTATAATTATTAATACTATTTGTTGCTGTTGCTGATGTTGTTATTATCACCATCATCACTACTATGTTTTACTTGAATTATTAAACTGTTCTTATCTCAACCCATAGATTTTTACCTTTTTTCTGACTTTTCTCCTCATCCCACCAGGGTGGGGAGTGGGGCACGAGTAAGCTGCTGCATGGTACTTAGTTGACACCTGTAATTAAACCATGACAACCTCAAGTAAGGGTAAGTCTATGAGAACAGATCCCAGAGAAACTGAACAATTTCAGGAAATCTTGCCACTGACAGCAGCTGTAAGAATCCATAATCCAGATTTGGCTGAACACTGCTGCAGCTGCCTGAGTCTACAATAGCTTTTCTCTAAGACCATGTTGCAAAGAGTACGAATCACAACAAATTAATGTAATATATCAGATAATTTTTTTCCTAAATGAAGCCTATTTGTGGAAAATCTTGATTCCCAAGGTTGTTTCCTTTTAGTTTTCCCCCCACATCAGAATCTATCTAGCTCAATTAGAGGTAAAAACATGGAAAGACCATGAGGAAACAAATGGGTTTGCCTTTACCCTCACACACCCTTCCCAGCAAATTGAAGAAGAGTAACTGAATTGGCCACAGACCACTAACCCCTGGCAACTCTGCTGATATCCTACAATGAGCTGTAGAACAGGCTGGCTCATCTACTCTGATCTTGTGAGACCTCACTTGGAGTATTGTGTACAGTTCTGGTGTCCTCAACATAAAAAGGACATGGAGCTGCTGGATCAAGTCCAGAGGAGGCCACGAGGATGATAAGAGGACTGGAGCACCTCCCGTATGAAGATAGGTTGAGAAAGTTGGGGCTGTTCAGCCTGGAGAAGAGAAGACTGCGTGGAGACCTCATAGCAGCCTTCCAATATCTGAAGGGGGCCTACAAGGATGCTGGGGAGGGACTCTTCATTAGGGACTGTAGTGGTAGGACAAGGGTTAATGGCTTCAAACTTAAACAGGGGAAGTTTAGATTAGATATAAGGAAGAAGTTCTTCACAGTGAGGGTGGTGAGGCACTGGAATAGGTTGCCCAAGGAAGTTGTGAATGCTCCATCCCTGGCAGTGTTCAAGGGCAGATTGGACAGGGCCTTGGGAGACATAGTTTAGTGTGTGGTGTCCCTGCTCATGGCAGGGGGGGTGGAACTAGATGATCTTAAGGTCCTTTCCAACCCAAACCATTCTATGATTCTGTGATTCTATGATCTCCAGTTCTGCCTTCCGATGAAGAAAAAATTTTGGGTGTGTGCTCCAAAATTACCGTGACCATCCTCACTCCATGAGTTAACAAAAAGCCAGGTGGGATCTTTACTCTTCTAGCAGAATACGGAGTAAACTTGCACACCAAGGCAGAGCTGGGACTACATGGGTTGAAACAGGAACATTTTGAATACAAAACTAAGCCCAGGCTCAGGCATTGAAGATGATAAAAACAAATTTAAATTTCATTATCTGAAAGATGATTAAGGAATTATATGTAAAAAGACCAGAATGTGCAATACAAGTCATCTTTGGGATACTCCTGGAAGACTAACAGAATATAGTACTAGAAGCATGTATTTGTACAATTTTCACAGTGTGTAATGTATAGTAGACAAATATTTCAGGCAAAGGCATTTGTCACTTAAACCTAGAATGGTTCAACAAGAGCCCTGAGAACACACAGCTCTTTCTAGGCCTACACACATACACAGCACACAGTGTCTGGACAGTAGACATGCTGTAATAGGTATCAGACCCAGCATGTGGATACAGGTTAAAGGGCAAGCACACTGTGCAACGAGAAGACTTTGCCATGTTTATAAAAAGAGAGGTGGCCCTCCTTGTACAAATTGTTCTAGTGATGTAAGACTAAGCTCCATCTTGCAGATAATCAGTTCAATGCAACTTCATATTTTCATAACTTTGTAATTGTGCCCTTTCCATCTTTTTCATCCACACAAGCAGAAACTCAGGATAAAGTTATATTGAAATTTAATCCACTCTGGGACTATAACTTGCTGAGAAAATTAAAAAAGGATAACAGATGAAAATATTTAAGTCATCTTAGCTGTTCTTTTACTCCATTAGCATCCTTCTCCTGTTGCCTAGCTTTGCTTCATTCCAAACCGTATCTGTCCAAGTTACTTTTTTTTTCCTAAATTATTTATGTTCAGTAGTGTGGGAAGGCACATTTTAATTAACTTCTGCTGAATTTATCAGTGTGGGCTGTCTTCTAATGTTCCTTGCTTAGCTAGCAGGGAGGGATTCAGCTCACAGATTAAGACTTAAATTTAGATGTCTGCTTAGAATTACAGAATCATACAGCTGCTCAAGAAAGGGACAACACTGAATTCATAGAATCATAGAATCATAAAGTAGTTTGGGTGGGAAGGGACCTTAAGATCAACTAGTTCCAACCCCCTGCCATGGGCAGGGACCCTTTCCACGAGATGAGGTTGTTCAAAACCCTGTCCAACCTGGCCTTGAGACCAGTTTACTTAGGGTATGTCCAGTCAGGTCTTGAAAACCTCCAAGAACATAGACCCCAAATCCTCCCTGGGTAACCAGTTGCAAATGCTTGGTTATTCTCTTTAGGAAAAAGTTTTCCTTATATGTCACCGGACCCTCCCCTGATTCTGACCATCATCTCTTGTTCTCTCACGACCTCAGTAACGGCATGGCTGGAACCTCTTGCCAACCTATCCATAGGTACTGGGGGGCACTGTTAGGGCCCCTGAAGCCATCTGTCCTCCAGGCTGAACTAGCTATACTGGGAGCCTTGCCAAAAATGCTGTATTTGAGGAGTTCGTGATCTTGAACAAGACATGTTTGCTCTACTGAGCCTTGTCCTTAAAGCCTGTGCTGACGCTGGTGAATGTTATGACAGAGATGATGTCCCAGCTTGTCCAGAGAAGATGATTGTTTGCTACACAAAATAAAAGGCTCCACATTGTGGGAGGGAGGAAGTACCCCTCACAGATGGCATCTGTGCAGTGTGCTGGGATCCATCTAAACTCTGTCTGATGCTGCACAAAAGCAGGGTTTCCAGTATTGGAAGGGACCAAAGATTTCCTCACTATCTATATTTCCGGTTTTATCCTACCTTATGAAATCAGGTATGTTCTCCCCACCCTTTATTGTTGCATTTTCCCTGTACCTGTAGCTGGGTAACTGTTTCAGTCACTTTGTTGTTCAAGGAGATATTTTCAAA